GGACTGGCCTGCATATGGTATTTTATAAGGGATTCAAAATGTAAATCGCTGACCGTTTTTATAGGTGACTGTTTTTGCTCAGCCGAAAACGGAATAATGTATAGAATCTGTCTAATTGCTCTAAAAGTAACTTGAAAATTTATATTACCTTTTTATTACGAGACCCCCAAGGGTATTTCAAGAAAATTATTTATTATTAGGTGGAGATGGGAAAACGTCACCAACGGGAGCCGGAACTCAAAATCAACCCTTGTGGATTCTTAGGGACAGTTAATCGAAGTGAATAATTGAGCCCCGGCGAGTACTCCGTAAATTGTCGTCGTTCTCATACAGAGCCAAAATTTAAAAAACTCGGAGACGTCAACAGTGTCTTTCTGGTAAGGGCTTATCTGAATCGAATGCAGACCAATCTGACGACCGTGACTCCGAGAACCAAACTTCCTTCCATGGCCTGCTAGATCAATCACTCCAGTCAGGCGGGGAAATAAAAGCTCTGAAAGCATTTCGGGATGGAAAATGAGTAAAGATAGAGCAACAACACTGTCATCTCGACTTTTTAATCTTATACTAAAGAACAAATCAAGTTGAGCTTATCCAAAAAGCCAACCTCCGACACATCCTTAAAGGGGCATTCCCAACCGGACTACGCTCCAAAGTGACGGCCAAAGTGCGGGAACTTGTCTCGTAGTCAGAATCGAGACTAAAGGGTAGCGAACACAACCTGGCTATCTTCAAGGGATTGTTCGGATAAATATGATGTTTCAGTTAAATCAGCCAGTACTATAAGAACGACAGCGGCTACGCAGCTAGACCAGACACCCTCGCGGAACCAGCCGCTTGATTGGACAGCAGAATTAAGCCGGTAACGTCCAGTGTTCGTGTTATGATCCGGCCTGATACTCAGAAACCACGCAAAGCGTATGCGCACCCGATTATTGTCCTCAATACCAACGCGTCAGTGAAGGAAAACACGACCGACCACGAAAAGGTGCATTAGAAATCCGATAGTCATTCTAACTGGAGAAATGACGCGTATTTATAACGCCCAACCGGGGTTCGCCTGCATTCAGTCCAGTGCGCTTCGAGGAAAAAATTCAGACGAGTCAATCGATTACTCGCATACACGAACGAATCAGGTTTGGGGGAACAATCAATGGCGAGGCGTCACCGTTACGCCGACAGCGCGCTAAAGAAAGCGCACGTGGCCTCCAGTGATTGGCTGGCTCTTGTTTTGGGGTGTGGGCATTAAGTGAAGAAGAAGAGCGGTCGAGAACAGGAAGACTTTGTTTATTGTCCTGAGCTTTCAGATTCCAACAGGAGTCCTTAGTCAGTAGTAGCAGCAACAGAACAAGCGACAGTTAAAGGGTATGTAGGCCAATCACCGACCGCCAGCGCAAGACTGCACGTGACTACGCAGGGCTCTGAACGCCGGCGCCAGATCGATTAAGCGATTGACCGCGTACTCATCCGAGGCCCAGGCTTCGATCAATTCTCGGCCTGCTGTGTTTCCGGCGTGAGCGGCTATCTAGATGGCTGCAGAGTTAACCTCGTGGTCCATTTCATAGGTGTGGGCGGCTACTTGTGATAATGCGTTGCCTCGTCACACAGTCAGCTTATGTTCGTGTATGCGCGATCCGAGCATGCGCCCAGGCTGGCCTGTGTAGTTACAAGGAGTGAGACACACTACTCCAGATTGTTCTTGAGGCTTCAACCGGTCTTTGATTTTCATGACCCTATTGCGCATGGTGGCTTCGGGGTGGGGGAGCGTGCAATTCCAACACTAGGTCAGCAGCCGTGCGCTTGGTCGCATCTGAAACGCCCTTGATGTATGGCAGAGAATGGGCACTTATTAGAGTTCTGACCGAAGAATCCCAGGTCGATGAAACCCATCAAGCCAAGGAACGGGCCTGTGAAAATAACGTTCTAAAGAACCCAGCAAGACCCACAACATTTCCAAGCACGACCGAAAATTCGGCCGGTGCGAAATTGAGACGCTTGTATACAAATGCCCAAAGCGTCATTCTGAAACTTGATTAACTCAAAATTTGCCCCACCGAATTGTCTCCGGATGTGATAGCAGCAGCCGAAACCCGGCTGTTCGAGAATATTATTGATAGTAAATAGCATTAGGGGAGACTAAATATATCGGAGGGACAGGGAACATCGCCAGTGTGATGTAGTCCTATTTGTGTAAAAATTTCTAATAGTCTGGGAAAAGAGCATTAAGTTTGTTACATGAGCGCTCACCGATCAGGTTACAGAAAATGCTCTGTTCCTTGTGCCTTGGGGTTCAAACTACAACCCTCACAGGCAGTCGCAAAGCGACTAGCGATATAGGCAAATAAGGTGATGCCGACAAAGACAAGGGAGACCGGGAAGGCCATTTCGGGCTTATTAGCCATCATCAGCTGGCCGTTTCTATCCCCAAGTATGGATCAAGGCACAGCCGAATGAGCATGTTCCGTAACCTGCTCGACGAGCGCTCATCTACCATAATTAATATTCCCGATCACAACCGACAGGGTAACGAGACCTTGTCTCATTGATAGAGCGTTCGACTCAATGACCAAAGCTCCTGTGTTCGAATCCCAGGTGGTTAACACTTGGGATTGGGCGTGGCTGGCTGAAGAGGGCTAATGAGCCAGAAATGCCTATTCCAGTCTCCCTCGTCTCTGTCGGTATCACCTTATCTGCATAGCCTGCAGCACCGAGGCCATTTGGTTGACAATCGTGGCTTCTGGCCCCCGTGCCTCAATTTCATTGCTATCTACCGACCGTCTAGGACGGGCCAAACCGTGACACTCACCATTTGCAGCGCATGGGGAAATTCTCTAGTAGACCTTTACGTCATGCTAATGGGAGACTGCAACGCATCAAGAATTACCTGCAACACAGTTCAAGAGTCATGCCTAAAATCGACCTTCGACTACCATTTACTAAACAAAACATTGAAGGCGCTCCTTATACAACATGTGATTTCTCCAACGGTAGCACGTGAAAGACGTAGGGCTAACTGCCTGGATTTACTTTTGACGAAAACACCAGACAACATAGACGAGGTCATCTCCACGCTTCCCGATCAGCCGAAGTGACCATGTAGTGCTTATGTGGGATTACTCATTATACGTCGTCCTTGACCAAAAAAGACGTAGCATTGGGCGAGGCGACTTCGGATGGGCGAGGGCAGATCGATCCGGTCTCCAATGGAGGTCGCTATTTACGG